CAGTACTGGGGTCAGGACCAGCTGCATGGTGCAGAGGGTCAACCTGAGAAGTTAAAAGTTTAAATCATATCGTATTTCAGCGTAATGATTTAAGAGCAAACAGATCTGTTCTCATTAGTGCACTGAAAAATCGTGCCTCCCTGTCTGTATGTTAGAGGAGGCAATTAACAACAGCATTAAAATGGCATACACATTCCTAACAACGTATGTCTCTATTACCTCCCATAACTCATCCACTTTGTTCCCCAGCGACGTCCCAGTCTTCACCTCAAATTTATGCACCAAAAGGGATTGCAGTTTTAGGTGGAAGCAGTCAAACTCCAAAGACAATTCATCTTAGGTTGATCCCTCACTCATACAGACCATGCTCACATTATTAGGAGGATCAGGTTCACTTTCAGTGCCTGGTAAAAAGCGTCTTTATTTTGCTTTCCAAGGGGGAGGGTTGGAAGGGGGGGGAATCTCTGTTCTGACACACAGAACCTCAGGATAAGGAACGTTCTGTGAAGCTGAAGATAACTGGGCATGCATCCTTCACAGCACTGAACTGCTTTTATCCTTGACATTTCTTCCAGCTCTCTATTTTACTCTGGTTTTACTCTGCAATCAGCTCTATCTCTCTGCAAGATTACCTTTCCCTCCTTACCGTAGCAGGCAAAGGTGTTTGAGCCTCTGGGCACAATGGTCTTTGAGTGTGGATCTAAGCAAACTGTTCAGCAGTTGTGACAAAAAAGGGCTCTGTTCAGCTCTCAGCTGTAGCGAAATAGGTCTAGAATAAATTTATGTTATCCAAAGTAGCAGAAGAAAGAGCCACAAGAGATTTTAAACAACTCCCTTCTTCACAGGGATAGGCTCACCGGTGCTATTCTTAGCCCGATGTGGCTGGAAAAAGTAGAATATTGAAAGTGAAGATGAACAATTGCAACTTCTTACTGAACATACTCCAATCATAAATAGCTTATATACTTATTCTGCTCAATATCAATTGTAGTTGTACAGTAATACTTCTATCTGCACAACAACAGATTTTTCTTGTATTTTCACAGTGCCTAACCCTCTGCTTCCCTCTGTATTGTTAATAAAAATATCCTTTGACACATGCTTGCATGATCATCTTTCTCATCCATATGTTTAAAATCCTTTGTGCTACCAACCAATTCAGGATACACGCTGATTGTATAGTAGCATTGCTCAGGATTTGTTCTGCACTGTATCACACATTTATTATAACTGCTCATGTCTTTGAACTTCTGCAGTAGGGTCCTGTGACATGTCCAACACACACCACTCAGAGCTCCTGCATATGTTTCATGTTTATGTCACTATATTCATATAAGATCTGTTATAACTGGACTAAGTAAAGGTTACTGGATCACTCCACTTCTAATCCTTGGTTTTCAGATGCTTTTTGGCTTCTGCAAAATGCTCTAGATGGAATTTTTTTAAATTTGCAGTTTGAAGTTTCCATCCAGGAAAGATTGATTTGCAGATGACTGTTCATTTGATTCATTTGATTTTGTGCACACAGAGATTAGAGAGAGACTTTTCTCCAGTATTAGAAAATTAGAACATTTATTCCTTCATTCTTTAAAAAGAGTGGTGGCACCAAAGTGCTCAGAGAGAAAGATGAAACCTGTCAAGAAGGTAAACATCACATAAATAGATTATTTATTTTAAGGCTTTTCAAGGCAGCCAAGAAAGAGCAACTGAATTTGCATGCACACTCAGCTTTGGCAAATGGGGGTTTTACCTGCAGATTACATCCAGGCTCCAAATTAAAACACAGAAGGGATGATTTCAGCAATACGGGCTGATACACCATTAATTGTCTGTTAAAGTGTGCACTGTATAAGGCAAACTTGAGGCAAACTGAACTGGCATATCCTGTGAAAGCTCAATGTACACAATGATGTTCTGAAAACTCTGTGCACAAAGCACACAGATCTGTGTTTGAGGCGGACGGGTTGACGCTAAGAAAGCTGAGCGTTCAGAGCAAACCATTCCTGAGGCAGTACCAGCTTCACTGATTTCACTGGGGCACATGCAAGGACGAACCTGCCTCACCGTTTTACTCTGCGCATCTTTTTTTATTACAAGAGAGGAAGGGCACAGGGCAGGGTATTCGGTCACATTCCAGTTCTCGAGCACAGGACACCAGAAGTCTTCTCCTCCAGCACCGTTGCTATACAAGTGGTACACAGCAAGGTGCCTGCGATGGCAGAAAGGAAGGAGGAGGAGGAGGAGGAGGAGGAGGAGGAAGAGGAGGAGGAGGAGGAGGAGGAGGAGAGGAAAGAAGCAGCCGAGCTGCCTTGGGTATCATAATTAAGAGATAATTAAGAGCTTCTCTGTCATCCTGGAGCAACAGTCCCCAAATGACCACCTTGACTTTGTCACTGCCTGATTTTGGGCATTAAAATTAAGTCATTATCCAAACAATATCCACATTTCTGATGAAAATACTTATCACCAGCACTGCCATGACAGTAGTGATTACAGATGCATCTTAAAGTAATAACTACAAAATATATCACAGATATATAGGAAAAAGTTCTCAGTTGTAACAACGCTTGTCCCTGTCTTAAATTAGGGACAATGTTTTTGAACATGTGGTGGTGTTTGACTATGAGGAAGCTGTTTTCATTTGTTTCCCAGGCAACAAATACTCCTTCATACCCCAATAAATAATTAAAACTTAGTAGTATAATTTGATAAAGATACATCTGATCCTAAAGCAGTCAAGTCCCTTTTTAAATCACATGAATTATTACTAAAAAGTATCAGAGTTTGTGAGCTCAGTGCAGTTTGCTAGAAATAAAACTGCCAGCATCTTAAACATAAACTTCAATTTGTTTTACTGATTTAAAACATAACACATTACAAATACCAGCAATGGAAAATATAATTTATTCCGTACAGATATTTAGTGATGTAATTATTTAGATATTCCTCCATTCTCCAGAGAGGGTAGATACAGAGACAGCTGCAATCAACAGATCATTTTGTTGTTATTGAGAAAAATGTGTAACTACATCAAGTTCTACCGTCCTACAATTATCACCACCATCAAGTTTAAAGAGAAAATATGAAAAATCAAGGCTGTATCCCGAAAGGAAAACACAGAGTCAAAATTTGGTTTGGCTCTCTGACTTCCATAACACTGTCAATGACACTCGATGTGATGATTTGTTTGAAGTCTCTCGATTTAAGGGTTCTTCTTTGCATGGTTTATTACTAATTTCCGTAACTCTGCAGGGGAAAGAAATAAGATGGCTGTGATCGCTCTTAGGGAAACCGAATGGTAAGGACTAGCAACCAGAGTGAAGCTGGAGTGTGGGGCACCAGCATGTGCTCCCAGCAGGAGTAACATCTTCCCTCCAAATGCCACTTCTCTGCTTTGCAAAGAAGAGAGATGGAGGCAGAACGGAAGGAGATGCAAGTTGATGCAAGTCGTATTATATGTTATTGCCATCCTCGGTCCTTTGGATCCTGCCTCCCCCCAAAACCGGCGCAGCCTCAGCCCCAATAAAAATAGAGCGTAAGGTTTTCAGTGATAACAGGCATGGGTTTACATTACTGGATCCCCATTGTTTTGGTTTGTTCCTGCCATTACACTTATGTTGATAATGAGAAGCTGATGACAAAACTTTTGGCACCAGTACTCTATAAATAAAGAACATTGTAAATACATTATTTTTAATATGGTGCATGGCCCTGTAGAGACACCGTGTCACAGTGCCAGAAGTAACTTAAATAGCGTGTGTGGGCTTGCAAAAATAACCCCCCCCCAAAAGCTTCTCCTCCCTTCAGGCAGCTACTCTGGCAAGTGAATACATAGTCACATCATTTGGTGTCCCAGACTCTGGAAACTAAGTGTAACTATCATGATGTTTACTGGCCTCCTGGCATCTGGAATCAAACTCCATAATCCAAGCACAGGCACACTGGTGCCCAAAAGCAATTTTCTTATATGTATGTGTTTTTCCCCCACCCTTCAAGTTTATTTTTGCCTCTGAAGAAAAACTAGATTCAACTCTTACAAACTCCCAACTACTTCCTAAACTTTCCATAACGTCCTTTGATGTTTTCATTGTAACTATTCCCCCGTGTGTAAAGTCTCTGCCTTTTGCTGTAAGGCTACCAATTTTCACAAACAGAAGGCTTTCTTGCAACCCCCCTTATACATCTTTAGTAGGTTACAGTGTACCAATTCGGCAGTCTGCTTCTTTATTTGATTTTAAAAGTGTGTATTATCTAATACCTCTCAGTCACAACTTTGTTGTACGGGTGAACCGGTAGAAGTGGCATGTTTCACCCATTTAAAACAAAAAGAGAGGGAGGGAGAAAAAAGGGAGAAAAAGGAAAAGAAAAAAAGTTTCAGTTTTAACAGATGCAAAGCAAAGACCAAATATTTTCCAGTCGGTGGATGTTGAGGAGAAATATGCCAAATACATTTCACAAGCCAGTTAAGCCTCTACTGGCACCTAATCACTGCCAGATGTTTAGAAGCAACACCAAGCACATCGCAAAACGCTGGCAAAAAAATAAACAAATAAATTAGGGAGAAATAAAAGTCTCGCTCTCGGGACGCCGGGGCGGGGGGGGGTGGGAGTTGGGTGCCGAGAGAAAACGTCCTGTGGAGAGCACACGGGACGGGGAGGGGCACACCAGGACACCCCGCTCCCCGGAGCGGGGCTGACCAGCGCCAGCCAAACCGGGGCGGCGGCGCAGAGCCCCGGGCTGCCGGGGAGACCCGCCACCGGCCTCTCCCGCCACCGGCTGCCCGCACGGTGCCCTGCCAGCAGCCTGCCCGCAGCCGGCTTGCACCCTACCCGCATAGCGCCCTGCCCGCAATCTGCCCTCCCGTCACCCTGCCCGCACCCGACCGATCATCGCCCGCACCCTGCCCTCACACCCATCCCTCATCCCGCCGGGGTCCGGGGCCCGGGGCCGGCGGCACACGTGTGCGGGCGGCGGAGCGGGCGCCTGGTGGCCGTCCCTACCTTTCATCTTGGCGCCGGGGCGGGTCACATAGGACGGACGGGGCGCGGCGGGGGCTGCCGCCGGGAGCGGCGGGCGGGCGGGCAGCGCTCCCTGCCTACTGCCGGGCCATGGCGGGGGCCGGGCGCGCCCCCGCCGCCGGCCCTGCTGCGCACCCCCGGCCGCCGCCGCCGCTGCCGCCGCCGCCGCCGCCGCCGCTCGCCGTCGTCCTCGGCCGCCGGCGGCCCCGCGCTCTCGCCGCCAGCCCCGCGCGGCCCGGCCCGGAGCCGCGGCCCGGCCCCGCCTCCCTCCCTCCGCCCCGGGGAAGGGGCCGCGGCCGGGGCTGGGCGGCGGGGGCGGGCTCGGGGCCCCGCCGGCGGCGGCGGGGGTTGGGGCGGGGGGGCGTCGCGCCCGTCCCGCCGCGGCCCGAGGGACCTTGGGGTTCCCGGGGGGCGAGGGTGGCGTGTGGGCAGCAGGGTGTCAACGTGAGGGGCCAGCCTGGGACAGGACTCACCGGGCACCCACCGGTGACCGGGGAGCTTGAGTGGGACGGGGAAGGGAGGATGGTTCTCTTCCCGACCTCCCCACACACCTGGCAGGCACGGGGGGGCTTTTGGCTAAAGCCGTCCTCGTGAGGGTGGCACCGCTTCGGCTCGCCATGCCGTCACCCCTCACACTGCGGTACGCTGTCACCCCTCACAACAGGGCACGCTGTCACCCCTCACATCACGATACACCGTCACCCCTCACACCGCGGTACGCTGCCACGCCTCGCGCTGTGGTACGCTGTCACGCCTCACACGGCAGTACGCTGAGCAAGAAGTCCCAGGGCCGTGGGTGCATGTCGGTCGGGTGGGGGGAGGCCGCGAGACGTGCAAAGTTCACCCCGGTGCTGAATGAAGCGCCGCGAGTAGTCCCGTCAGATTTGATGGGATTACGTGCAGTGCACGCGCTGGGGAACGTGTGTAAGTATCTGCAGGATTAGGGAGATACAGCCCAGTCGTCTTTTACTCGTCTAGTGCTGGATGTTGCCAGGAATAATGGATTGTTTCCAGGCTTCTGTTTTGATGAAAGGTGTACTTTAATTTTTCTGCAAGCCTACCCATATTTAGTTTACTGAAGATGGTGGTAAGATGATCCAGTTTTGACTATCAACCTCAGTGCTGACGAAGCAGAGCTAGTGCAATGTGCACCAATTCGTTCTGGTGGGAAACAAAGTAGTGGAGACACCAGAGAGTCTTTCCCATCGCAGAGAGGAGATATGCATGATGTTGCCTTTGCCGTTATTGGTGTCACAGTCTGTTGAATGAGGAGATGCCCAAATAAATTATTATGCTACGTGGAGCATGTGGCTCCAATAAGGATACCAGAAATGTCACGGTGCAGTATTACAGCATTAGTTGAGCACCAGGTCAAAAAGCACTGGAAACCTATCAGGTATGGTCTTGCCTGAGCGAGGAATGAAGGATTAAGTCCACAAGAAGTAATCATTGTAAAGCAAAAAATAAAGTACAGAAATTTTTATTCCTTCGGCTGGTCTGATGACTTGAATTGACATGTGCTTGAGTGCGTTTCGCTGATTTGGAGGCAACACCTTCACCTTGGGATTGCTGAAAATACTTGAACACCAGCTGCAGTAGCCATTTGCTGCTTTAAAGCAGGGCTCAGATATCAAAGAGACTTGACTCAGATTTTAGTTTACACTCTGGTAGTTGACTGGAGTACCTATTTTTGGTACAAGTCATGAGTAAAACACTTAAATCTCAATACAGACATTAGGTAATTATGGATGTCCTGTAGTGTTGTGTTGGATTAGGACAACAGCTCTTGCAGTGTTCATAAAACCAATTAATGCTTGGTCAGTTGTATGACTTATTTTGAATCCTAAGTTAACTCACAATTTTTGTTTTGAAGAATAAATATCATTCTGTTTCCCAAACTAAAAACTATCTAGACTCTGATCTAAAGCCCATGAGTATGTTTCCAAGAAGAAATCTTTCCATGAATTCTCATAGACTGGATGAAACCTACAGTGAGGCTCCATATTTCCAGAGAAAATGTACTTCTGTTTGAAAACACAATGCTGAAGGAATGCTTTAAAAAAAGAAGAAAGAAAAACATGACTTTAAACCTGTGTCATCAGGGAATGTGCAAGGAGCAGGACTGTGCAGGAGTTTAGAATATTCCTGAAAAGCAGTAACTGATAACACTTCTCTAATTCTTCAGACAGTAACCTGAGTGAACTGAAGGATAGCAAACAGAAATTGCAGAGGCTGAGTCAACTGCTGTGTCTGAGGAAAACATGTTCCTTACTAACTGAAAAAAAAATAATGAGTATTTTGAATTCATATAGAGTTTATAATTGATTCATTAGGCCTGAGATCTACCTCGATTCTTGTGACTTTAAATTATTTATTAATTTGCAGACATAGTGGGACACTTCATATTTCTAAAGTAAACTTCTATATTATTTTTTAATTGTGTAAATTGTATTCCGCATTGGCTGATGAGCTTCTGCTAATACTACTTTAAAAATCTAGTGTTAGTAAAGAAATTCAGGAAACTCATGAACTGTTTCATCTGTCAAATCTTTCCTCTAAACTCTATTTTATGTTTTGGTTTCTGAAGTAAGTGTGCCTTTTTAATTACCATTGACCCATATCCATCCATCAGAAGAAGGGGCTAGACACTATTGTCACCCTTATCAACCCTGGCTTTAATGAAGGGAAGGCAAATTGTTGATGATTCATGGAGATGGGATAATTGAGAAAGCATACTTAATGAGACAAATACCAGTGGATTATTGACATTATGTAGTATATGCTCTCTTCATCAAAACCAGTTTAATTAAACAGGATAATTCTACACCAAAAAAAATCCACCCCAACCACTGAGTCGCATAGTTTAGAAATATTTGCTTTAAAAATCAGTGAGAGCATGTCCCTTTCCACCTGCGAATGGAGCTCTCCAGTCACCTCTCCATTGACACTGTTTCAGTTGCCTGTATGAACAGCTCCCCAAATTTCCCATTCCTGCTCGATCAACACTCTGAAAATGATGATCGGAGCCACTATGTCCAGAGGAGACCTGCCTTATGTTTAGTCTGGCTTCCGACACCCCATCCTACCTGCAGGAGTTGGGTTGTGGGGTGCAGTCTAAATGCTGCTGGTGTCCCTGGGTCAGGCTACGGTGAAGTTATGGGGGGACAGTGCTGCAGTGGGCAATGATGACAGAGACACGACAGTCCCCGTGGCACTTGTCCAGCCAACCCTCTGGGACTATTTTATTTGCAGTAGCATCGCAGGTCTCAAGATCTGAACCATTTCTTGTTCTGGGTGAAACTGGATGGCGGTGAGGTTGTCCTATGGCTGTCCTGCAGTTGCCCTCTTCCCATGCCCTGTGAGCTCTGCCCACAAGGACATTCAGCAAAAGGACACTGGGAATCACCCAGAGACACAATCTGTGGCCTTAAAAGAAGTTGAGCTCGGTTCTCCCAAATTTCATCCCTAGCTACCATGCAGATACCCCAGCATACCTGATTTCAGGTAACAAGAGCAGCTTCTCTCCAGCATCCTTCTGCTTGCCTGGGTTTCAGACAGATGCTGACCCTAAACAACCAAATCAGGTGCTACTTTCAGACTTCCCCCTCTTGTATTCGCTTAGGTGTGAGCTCCTCATGAAGTTGGACCTCCCAGACCTTAAACTTTATCCCCATTTCTTACTACATGAGGATCAACAGATATTCCTACTAGCTAGGTGAACCACTGAATACGTACATATTTAGGATGCAATACAGTACATAATACAGGGTGCAATATGTAACTAGCATTGCCCAGTCCTGGGCCTTCACAAGCCTGAACTTTTTATATAGTCTTTTATATTTTTCAAGTTTCATTTAAAGCTATGGTGAAATTTGCCAAACACAATTACAGTACCTCTCCAGTTTATAAGCACTGATCTTCTCAGGAAAAGTTTCAAGCATATTTTCATATTCTTTTATTTTTAGGACACTTTAGACTCTGTTCTAGGGAAGTCTAATTTCACAGAGCTACTTCATTTTAGGGACTCTTTTTGTTACTCTGGTTCAGAACATAAATTACAAGGTCTGTTTTTTCATCCAATAGTAATAATATAACAACAGCTTACCACTGCAATGGGCTGTCTGTCACAAAGTGATCCCACATTTCAGCCAGATTCAGACTCAGAGAAGGTCTAGAGGATCTAAAGAAACCATCCTTGTTTAGAAATGTTTACATATTGGCTTAATATGGCTTGTTTATATGGAAGTATTAAAATTTTTTCATCAAATGCTGAAATAAGGTACCCAGGAGAGCACTCTGCAGTTGCTGTGGCATAGCGTGACAAAGCACTTACCAACTACATGTGTGCTGTTCATTTTTTCCTTGCTACAGTCTCCTCTTGAATATCAAGAAAGTTAATTTATAACGGTTTACACTCACTTTTAATCTGAAAAATGTGTTCAAATTCAGTAGTAATCCAAAAGAAAAAGATGCAAATTTAATCTCCTTGTATATGCTTTAGAATAAATTGTGCGGACTTTGCTGAAGTGATCTAAAATCTGAGGTAATGTTCTCAGTTCCTGTTTATTTTGATTCCACTTCACAATGAACTATTACCCTCACCTGGCTTTTACACACAGCCTAAACTACAAATTTTTTTCAGCATTGATCGTCTCTTCTCCAACCAGAAGCTCTTTTGCTATTCAGTGAGTCTTGGAGGTGCTGGAAGCCCTGGTCCATGCACATGGAGGTATGTGTGGCATTCTCTTTTGATTGTCAGCCTTCTCATTGCCTGAGCCTACATGCAATGCAAAGGGCAATAATTAAATAAAAAAAAATCTGAAAAATAATTGTATGGATCATTGAGGAGAACTGCATGTGACATGGGAACCATATGTGGAAGATCATTTGTCTGAAGTAAGTACCATTTGGGTTCAATACAAAATGTGCATTTGAAAAGTAAGAGTTGAGTATTATAACATATTTTAATGATAAATCTTTTTCTCCACAACAATTTCATATTGTTGTTAATGACCATTTTGGACCTGTGCCCAGAGTGAGGACATTATCCTTGGATCTGGGTAATGAGTTTGTAAATGATCCTGAACAAATGGTGAAGTTATTTGCTAATAATTT